CATTCTTCGCTATTGCAGTTCACACGATATTTTCAAAAAGAAAAATGTTCCTATCCGGAAAATGTTATGATTAATTATTTTTAGTGTTATGATTAATTATTTTTAGAACATGTAGTTCTGAATTTAACAACCAAAAAACATGATTCCTTGGTATTTAGCAATCAATGGCTTATTAGACATGAAATATGCATATGAATTATGCTCACATGTATTTATTTTTGACATCAAAATTTCGTTAAGATCCTAGAAGTGAGCCTTTGACGATGCTGCACTCGCTATCAGTTCAGTTTTATAACATTGAAGTCGAGCTTTGAATGCGTCTACTGAACTGGCTTCTTTAACCGAACTTGGTACTTTGTTCCAGTAATTGTTAACACGGTTACTGAGGACCTGATTTCCTCTTTTATCTTAATTAGAATCTTGGTACCGCTACGTGATATCCTGAAAAGATCTTGTCCATAGTCCACTTTACCCGTCGTTATTTTAAAGGTTTCAAAAAGATCACTCCTCATACGGCGCTCCAGTAGTGTTGTTAACTGAAGGATTCTCAATCTCTCATCGTATGGTAGAATACCAATCTCGTCGATTATTCGTGTAAGTTCTCTCTTGAACATCTTCTTAATAGTCTTAATACTTTAATAGTTCTCCAGTTTCTGTGCTCTGCTGGTAGATTCCACACTTGCACAGCGTATTCGATGTGAGGTCGAACTAGAGTTCGGTAAACATTCAGCATAACAAATTTGTTACGGCAGATCAAGCTTCGTTTGATCCAGCCTATAACAGACTTTGCTTTTTTCACGGACTTGTCTACCTTACAAGACATATTTATGTGGATCATAATTAGCGGGGATCGAAATTATGGGGGAACGAAAATATGGGGATTTTTTTCAGAAATACAGTAATTCAGTACGAAATTTCAGAATTCAGTACGAAAATATGGGGATTTTTTCCAAAAATCCCCAAATTTCGTACCATTTAATATGTCTCTTAAGGTATATGGAAATGTTATACTTATTAAGAAAAGCCGGTCCCGCCTAGCCTCCTATCATAATGAGCCAATGTTGCGATTGTACAATCAATACTTTAACACGTCACGTCATCGTATAATTGCTTATCATTTTATTAGCTCTTCGGAAGGAATATTGAAATGGCCCTGCTGCTTACGTCAACTTTTGTTTGTTTGTTTGGGGACCAGCTTTTGGTACATTCATGGTTAATGTTTACTATAATATAATTTCAAAGTATTACATGTAGAGTAATTACATAGAATTAGATAAATATGAATTTCTTTTGCTTAGGATATACCAATATGATATCCAAAAATGAAACGATGTACCTTACGCTTCGCACACAACACAACTGGTATAGGTAGTTGTTCCTCAAAAAAAGAGCCCTATATACATAGCTAAACCTGGCCTGGGTGAGACCTGCATCACGATTGCTATTCAGTGATGTGTGTTCTACAAGTCATCACATACCTGAGTTACAATCACGATTGTAATATAATGATACTTATTACTTTCCTTCATTTTTACAATAAGTTCTGATGAGCTGCTTCTCCTCCCTATTTCTGTCAAGGTGTGATGAACCACGTATATGGTACGCTGCCCATTTAGATTTCTTCAGGTTTCTTGATCGAGCAGCAACCATTTTGACTGATCCCATGCAAGCCAATGTCACTTTTATCGGTCTCGGTTACCACTATCTGCATGTTTTTTAATCCTGATCAAATTTTCTGTCACCAATTCAGGATCACACTACCGATGATTCCCAAATCTCGGTGATCACTTCTTCTGCCACTATATGTGGATCACTGCCCTAATTGTCTGGTACACCGTATACAATGAAATTCTTTCTGCGGACGTTTTTAACAGCTGTCTTTATACTGTCTTAATCGACGGAGCACCGGTAGTTGTTTCACAGCCCTTTCACAGTTCTCCTTGACGATGTCACACCAAGTTTTTTCATCTCAGTTTGTACAGTTTGCTGGACAGAGTCGAGCTCTTTCTGTTGCTGTTTGAACTGATCCTTCTGATAATTAGGCTGCGCTGATACCAGTCTGTCTCGTACTGGCCGCAGATTTACATAGTTCAATATTGCCTGTCATCAATTTAGAAAGATTTTCAACAGCATGAGTAGCCAAGGGGTCTTTCGTTATACCCATCAATCTCGAATGATTCAGCTTTGTTAACGGTTTGAGTTTTCGAGAGTTACAAAGTTCCATACTTTATTGTTAGTACTTTGGTCCGAGACATCAATTTTGTATGAAAAGCATTAAGACATCGGCAGCGATAACTCTTTTTCAAGTTTGTTCAAATTTTCCACAGAGTTGAACTCTATAGTACAAAGACAAGCTGATTAGCTCGGCGTGTCGATGTAAATCTGAGAATAACTGATTGTAACTCAACTTCTTCATGTGCTTTTTATGCTGACTTAGAGGTGCATTATTCTCCAGCATATATCTCGAAATATATGCCTGCGTTCCGCT